AAACTGGTCACATTTAGTCACTCTCCCGTAATGGAGTTGGACGGAAACTAACGGGAGAGTGACTAAATGTGACATGTTTCAGTAATTCGAGTGAATAAATGTGACATATTCAATAATCCGAGTGACCAGAGTTGGACAGAGGTTACATGAGAGTGACCAAATGTGACCTGTTTCAGTAATTTGAGTGACCAAAATTGATATTAAATTTTTCTAGTGACTTAACATAGCACGATTTAGTAGTCTCAGTGACCAAATGTGGCATTTACTCCGAAATTTTTAAAAAAATCAAGTGTGGATTTCAAAATAGTTATATGGTATTCAAAATAGTCGAGATGGTCATATAATTTAAAACTCACATTTTTTCATCTTGTGGATGGGAAAATGTATAAATTGACTTCTAGTTGACGGAAAATAATCTAATTCAAATCATATAACTTTTATTTTTGGAAGAAAAGAGGTGAATTCTTTTTTATAATGCCGATGCCAAAATACTTATTAACCACTCACATCAATCACCTACCCAGGGTGATTTGAATTATTTTTACTAGCTCAATATCAAACCACTAATTAACCACCACATTTCCACCTATATATTACCGCTATTCCATTAAATCATCCACATCAAGCTAATATATTAAATTACAAAGTGATGTGACAATAAAAATACAATTGTATCTTTATTTACATGTATGTAAGTCTTAGTTGCATTTGTGCAAGCTATCACAAAATTAATTGCATTGGTGTTACTGAACGAAATTAATATGTATTGGATTGAAAAAATTGAGTTTGCAAGAAAGAACAGACATTTTCCAGTGCTTAACACTTTTTAATTGTCATTACTCTCAAGTCACAAAGTGTAAAACACACAAAAATAGTAATGGCAAAAATATCTGTAACCGTGGATATCCGCCCGAACCCGAAAGACATTTAGTGGGTATGGGTAAAATCCAAACTCGAATATTGCGGGTAATGGGTGGGCATGAGTTTCTCACTATCCAACCCGAACCCATTCGATTATACACATGTATATGTATTTTGTCTAGAAATAATCATTATTTTTCTCTAATATATTTTATATTTAGCATATCAATATAATATGTTCATGAAATTTTGTTATTTTAATTAATTTTATTCATTCTAGTGAATTATTGTCATACTTTTCATCTTACGTAATGTGAGAATACGTGTGAATTTCAACATATTGGTTGGTGTTATGAAGAGAAATTACTACCCATGGATAACCGTGGATACCCGAAACCCGAACGAGTATGGACATGATTTTGATTTTCTACCCGTTTCACATGTAGGTATGGGTATGGGCAATGTAGTAAAAAGCGAGTTTCTAAGTAGAAACGTTTTGGTGATCTAGAAGCGTAAAATCGTAAACTTTTAAGTTTTAAAGCGAAGTTTTTAACTACATAAGTTGTAAAAACTAAGATTTTGTGTAGAAGCGTTTTAGTGACCTAGTAAAGTAAAATCATAAGTTTTTAAGTTTTAAAACGCAATTTTGACTACATTGAGTATGTGTATGAGTAAAACCCGAACTAATTTGGGTAGAATAGCGGATATGCTCTAGCCGCCCGACCGACCGACCTACGCAAAAACCACGGCGGATTTCCAAAGAACTTTTTTTTTGGAGAAACGATTTTCAAAGAGCTCAAACCCATAAAAAATGACCACTCTCTTAAGGGACTAGATACTATAACAACACTCCTTTTGTTGTTATTGTAACAACACTAGTCTCCAACCAATAGGAAGCTAGGGTTGTGATGACTTTTTATTAGTTGAGTTGACCTAGTGTAAAATCAAAGCAGGGGTATAATTGTCATTATGAAAAATAAAAAAAGATTTTTTTATTTTCTGCTCAAAATTTTGGTCGCCGGAATTCGGTCGCCGATCACCGGAATATGCTTTTCGTCGCCGGAATATGCTATTTTCTCATCGGAATATGCCACCGTCGTTGGAATATGCTTACCGGCGTCGGAATCTAGTCATCGGGGCCGGAATATGCCTATCGGCGTCGGAATCTGCTCACTGACGGTCATCGGAGTTCAGTCAACGACCACCGGATGTTATGGTCTTCATTGTGAGATTTATGGTTTGGTTTCTCACATTTTTGTATGTCTTTTGTGGTTTGCTTTATCGCATTTGTGGTTTGCATTGAGAAGTTTCTGGTTTGCTTTTTCGTGTTTGTGGTTTGCATTGAGAAGTTTCTGGTTTGCTTCCAAAAATTTTGTGGTTTGCATTGAGGGGTTTAAGGTTTGTTTTAGGAGATTTATGGTATGCATTAGGAGGTTTCTGGTTTGTTTTTGTGGTTTGCTTTAACGTATTTGTGGTTTGCATTATGAGGTTTCTGGTGTGTTTTTGAAAATTCTGTGGTTTGCTTTGTGAGGTATCTGGTTTGTTTTAATACCTTTTTTGTCTGCATTAGGACGTTTCTGGTTTATTTTTGTGGTTTGCTTTACGGTATTTATGGTTTGCGTTATGAGTTTTCTGGTGTGCTTTCAAAATATTTGTGGTTTGGTTTGTGGTGTTTCTGGTTTGTTTTAGGGAATTTGTGGTAAGCATTGGGAGGTTTCTGGTATGCTTTTTTGTGGGTTTTTTTTATCGTGTTTGTGTTTTGTATTATGAAGTTTCTGGTGTGCTTTAAAAATATTTATAGTTTGGATGTTTATGATCCCTTCAATTATAGGTAAAAAAATACTACTGAAATCTTCCTCCATTTATTCCTGTTACCCTTACTTTCCTTTTCCCCTCAGCTTGGCGTTTCCTTCCACAGAGAACAACAAGCTGAGCAAGTGCAGTTTTGACTTATATACAGATTACATGGGAGGTCATCAATCAATCAGAAGAGGGAATCTCTTGTTAAATATGGTCATTTCCCTCTCTCTACATCACCTCAGCAGGCGCGGGGGGGGGGGGGGGGGGGGGGGGGGGGGGGGGGGAAACTGCATGCAGTTCATGAATTTAGCCACAAGTGATGATCATCACCTCAGATGGTGGAGCGACCAGCGAATCTGGCAAGAATCGGCAGCCTTGGTGTTCAATGCACTACAGTGATGATTTCATATATGCTACTGTGTTCAATGCAAGTGATGATCATTATCAAAGAATGACGGTTGTAGATACAGATTTCTGAAACGGGTAGAAGCACTACAAATATTTCCATCACCGAAGGCTGGCGAATCTTGACCGAATCACCACCTCCGTCGTCGTCGCTCAACTCCTCGATAGTCGAGACCAGCCGCCTCCGTCCCCCCACCGACCCACTCGTCGTTATAACCTAATTCGACTAATTTTGTTTCATTCCAAGTCCAATCATCAAATTCTCGTTCTAACGCCGAATCCTGCCGCAGCGCATATGATTCTGCGTTGTCCGATTGCAAAGCGGGAATGTAATTTCTATGAACTCCGCTGCGGAAACCAATCGGCGGAGAGTGCCAGCCGTAACGCGATTGGCGATAGTAGTAGTCCGGGGTAAGAGGAGACGAGTCCCCACTCGACGTCGGCGACAAAGGTGGCGGAGAGACAGTTTTGATCGGCGGCGATAGGACAACCCTAATCTTGGCCTCTTCTTCGGGCTCAAATCCCAGAGGCCAGTTCCTCGGGAACTACATTTCCCTTTTGTCGTAGGGGAGTTCGAACAGGAGCGAGCGATTCCGACTTGGCGGACTAGGCGAGTTAGCCGGCGATTCCGTGGCCGGCGAGTTGGAAGAATTCATGTTCGGAGGTGGCGGAGAGGGTGATGAGATCTGACAGCGGTGAGTGAATTTAATTAACTTTATTTTATTATTTTCTATCTAATTTACCCTTTTACCATTAATGAATTTTGTTGTTATAATAACAACACTATCCCAGGCCCTCTCTTAAGCACTTGAAACCAGGGGAGGACCCAGGGAGGTTTGGGGGTGTCCCCGGACACCCCTAAATTTTGGAAAAATGATTATCCAACTTCCGGTGATAATTTACGTATAGAAAATAAATTATATTTAATAGTCCGGGACACCCTAAAAATTGAAAAAATCATTATACTACTCTCGTTTGTAGTTTGCGCATGGGAATATAAGTGGTAGTTTGGGTAATTCAAACCCGGGACACTACTACTATTAATAAATATAATTTTCATTAGGCTACAAACTTTTTTGTGGTTCTATTCTAAACACTGTGTAATAGCAAAATTGTAGGAAACATAAATATTGGGATGGTTAGGGGGTTAGGCAGCCGATTAGTGCCAAGTAGATTAGTAGTGTATCATTAGGTTTTTGGGCTTATTTCCTATAAATATGTATTTGAGTCATTACATTGGATTTGGTCAGAAATCAGTAATCAAACCCTATTCAGTTTATCCCTCTTCTTCTCCTAATCTCTAATTCCCAATTCAATTCTTCTTATCTCAATTTCCCAATTATTCTTTTCAAATCCCTAATTATTTCTCTCAATTCCTAAATCTCTTTCTAATCTATCTGGCTACGTTAATCACAAGTTACCGCAGAATCATAGTTCCTTCAAAAACCCTAGTCTCTATCTTTAATTATTTTCAAAACCTAACAATTAATCTAATTACAAGCTACCCTTAATTTATGGGTGTACGACAAGTGTTGAAAGTGTCTTTTCAGCTTTGAGTTACATTAAGAACAAATTTAGAAGTCGAATATGCATTTGTTCGTGAATGATTGTCTAGTAGGATATACCGAGACAACTTTGTTGAGCAGTTTAGACACCAAGTGTATTTTACATTTTTTTCAGAATATGAAAAATACTTATGAACTTTTTTTAACTTGTAAGAATTGGATATTTTCTTATTTAAGAATTATTTAATTTTTATTAATTTTTATTTCTTAAAAAGGACACCCCTATATAAAATTTATGGGTCCGCCACGGCTTGAAACCCCTTCACTCGCTGTATCCTTTCGACGCGTGTCACCGAAGGTTGATCTGATTGGCCAATCGACGTGTTTCCCCTTTCGTTTAAATGCCAAGCTGTCGACACCGCATATCACGTCCGAATTTACTTCTCCCTGATTAAAGAGCCTCCAACGCTCCCCAGCAGCTGACTTTTTTATTACGCGCCGAAGGCGGATAAAGGCAAAAGTAATACTTTTTTAAAAATAAATAGGATTTTCAGTTTTTTAATTTTCCACTGTTTTTCCGTCCGTCTCCCACTCTTCTTCCCTCCGTCGTCCGCCATTTCCTTTTTTATATATTTAAACGTCGTCCTCATCTCTCTGCTTCTTCTCTCCTTATTCCGCCTTGACTTTGTTTTGAACAGCCCTCAGGACAGATTCGTCGGGAAAAAGAGGCTCGGTCGCGGCGGCTCCTCTCATCACCAGGAAAGATGTCTGTCACTTCCTTCGTCGGCCGAGTACTCTTCGCTTCCATCTTCCTTCTCTCTGCCTGGCAAGAGTAAGTGCTCCCTTCCTCGCTGCAGATCTGCTATTTTCCTTGCCTTGTTCTTCCTCTCCTTTACGCTTGTGCTTCGGTAGAAAAGGGGGTTTTTTTTGGGGGGGGGGGGGGGGGGGGGGGGGAGAGAGAGAGAGAGAGAGAGAGAGAGAGAGAGAGAGAGAGAGAGATGCTGAAAGAACTCTGAATTTCCGATGCGGCAGATTTTAGTTTCCGAGTAGAGGATTAGAGTAGTCTTTGCACCTTCTCCTGTAGGGAATTTCGGCTGTTCTAGTTGCAGATTATGTTTATTTGTGCCTGGAATTGGAATCGCTTAGTCGTGCTTTGTTGCTTAGCAGTGAAAACAGACGCAGATCTTGAATGGCTAAGTAATTAGGATATGCTTAGGTTTAGTGAGGCCTTGGTTTCGGTTCCCCATGATCGTGATCTCGTGCTGAGCGATTTGCCGTTTATAGCCAACTTCTTTGGGGCTGGTTGTTGAATTCTGTTTGACTTCCGATGTATTGATTATGATTTCCGATTCATGTATGCATTCTACTGTTCAGCGTGGATTGAGTTTGTTTTACTGCGCTGTCCGCGGTTAGATTGCACTGTGAGATAATGATTGGCATTTGCCAAGGTCTGGTGTTGCTGCCTTACTATTATGATATGCTTGAGTTACTGTGTGAGGCAAACTGGACCGTTTTGAATCAAATCGTATAGGAAGAGTGTTTTGCTGCTGATGCTTTAGGTGAAACTAAGAATTTGTAAACTATGATTTCCCATGGTGGCGTCTACTCCGTTACACCTTTTACTTGTGGTTCTAATTGGTGGAGGTTGCTGGGGGCAGTCTATCGTAGCTGCTACTGGTGCTCTTCCAAGTGTGTTAGAGGATAACCACTTTGTATCTTTGTTGCAGGTTCAGTGATTATGGCACCGATGGAGGGTCGGCAGCAAAGACTTTGGCGCCCAAGCTACACATCTTCTCGAAGCACGTGGCGGAGCGGACAGGGTTTGAAGTTCCTGAATTCGAGGTATTAGTCAATCCTTTTAACTGTGTGCAGCTTGATATTCTTGCCGTTTCAACTTCATGTGGGGTTAAGTGTTTGACTCAGTTGGTGTTCGCAGACTAAGGCTGCAGTTGCAGCTGCTGTGGCCATGAAAGGAGTCGGTGGCCTCCTTTTCATCGCTGGCAGCTCCCTCGGAGCTTATCTTCTGGTATGTCCTTTGCTTCAAGCTGCTTGGGGTTTAAAAAAAATCTGTTGTAGACCTCCTCTATAATCTGAATCAATCTCCTTGTGATTTGTACAGCTTCTGCACCAGCTGATTTTCATCCCCATATTGCACGACTTCTACAACTATGATCCAAGCAAGCAGGAGTTCAACCCGATCTTCATCAAGTTCACTCAGGTCAGTTCTGGCTCCCATCACCTTCTCTCTCTCTCTCTCTCTCTCTCTCTCTCTTGTCATCGAAACTGTCTGTGATGCATGTATGTGATATCGTCGTGTATTTATTTTTATACCCCAATGATTTGATGATTTTGCTGCTGTAGAACTTGGCGCTGTTCGGAGGCCTGCTCTTCTTCATCGGCATGAAGAACTCCATTCCCAGGAGGCAATTGAAGAAGAAGCCGCACAAGAAGCAGCTATGAGAAACAGACATTTTCGGGGGTTGGGAGTCACCTACAAACGTGGAACTTGTCCTAGTGTTTTTTGTATGAATGTATTAGAATCTTGACGTTTAGAGGTTAGGTAAACGCAGATAGAAGAGCAAGAAAAATGGCAGAGGAACATGTCTTTTAGCTTTGATAGTTCAACCGTTTCATAGTTTCGTTACAGTTAGAACTCAGAATCCTACCTTTTTCTAAGACAATACATGTTGAAAACGTCGTTTAGTCATTGCATGCGGCGTCATGGATGCCCAAGATCTGTTACAGTTAGCTGAAAAAATCTATCCGGGAGGGCCTCAAATCTAACTGGTTGAGACAGGTTCTCCGAAGATTGTGTGGGTCCTCAATAGGGTTGTTAATAATTCAAGTCAAGCTCGGCTCAATATATTTTCAAATTCCAGCTTGGCTCGTGTTCGTCAGGAGTTTTAGTATGCAGGCTCGAGTTCAGCTCGTTGATGAAAATGAAAGCTCGAGCCCGATTCGAGCTTGGCTTGTCAAATAAACTTAACGAGCCCAAATCGAGTTCAGGTCATAAAATGTTCATATTAGCTTAAGATTGACCTAGAGCTGAGCACAAAATTACATTCAAACATGTAGCAAAGTCTAGCAAAATAAAACACAATATTTATCACAATTTCAATACATAAAATCCATAAATTCTTATCTATTATGATGCAAAACCGTTAAACGAGCTTGTTCGCGAGCTTTCGAGCTGAACATGGTCTGGCTAGAATTCGGCTTGTTTAGTTAACGAGCTTGTTCACGAGCCAACTCGATTAAGTCGAATCGAGTGTCGAACGAGTTTTTCTCGAGTCGGACGCCGAGCCGTTCATGAGCAGTTTGGTTCATTAACAACCCTCGCTATCAAGACACATACCGGTTGTCTTTTCTTAAAACTGGTGGGGACCAACTAAAGTGTTCCATGAAGCAAAAACCGTTATTACATCGAAATTTTGAGGGTTTTTTTTTTGTGAAGACAGTTTGTGATTCTATAACCGTAATTGTTGGAGGGGTTTCATTACTGTATTTGAATTTTCTAAGTTGAAAGTTTTTTTGTAATGTTATTAACCATATTTTAGATAAGTTGTTATATAATTTATAAATGTATGGATAATATAATGACATTTTTCATATATTCAGGCTAAACAATGATAAATGGATAAGACAATTAATTCTCAACCCACTTGCTCGACCGGGTCAATGGACTAAATTGGGTTGACAACCTTGTGAATTAAGTTTCCGTTGTTTCTGTGCGTTGAATGGAGTTAGACCGAGGTTTATTTAGGGGTTGGTTTGGCTTTACACAAATATTAGATGGGGAAGAATGCATGCTGTGGATTGTGAAATACTTGGATTCACTTTCCTTATGGTAATAGAAATCCTGCCGAATTTCATCCACCGCTCTCATCATACCATTGATTAGTGTTTGGTTATACATATTTGGAACCTCGGTCCTTGATCGATTGTTGACCATTTACCTTGAAAATACTAACTTGTTAGTTGATTTTACGTTAGGTTGTGCTATTTTGTCATATTGCAGGTCCTAACATGGGGAAAATACTTGAGAACGAGTTTTAAGGTATCTAGAGGCCACAAAGAGACCAAAGATAAAAGTTACGGTCAACACCTTGAAAATCACGACCATGAAACACCTCAAAATGACAATGGGGGACATGCTTCCAAAGGCTCTGATCAAAAGTCACTAGGCATGACATCAAAAGTCCTGACCATGAGTTTTCCAGAAGTGACTAATTGAAGCAATGCATTTTTTAAAGCCATGTCCAGGAATCCCAATGTCACGGTTGTGACTTTGCCATTGTCGGGTATAAATAGATATATGCGAATTTTCCATGAGAGTGGAGTTTTGGGACAGAAAAGGAAGAGAGATGAACCCTTGAGAGAGTGTGTCATTGGGGAATTCTTGGAGCTGTTAGAAGTAGATGTACCATTTTGTAATTTGCCTTGTAAATATTCTGTGAACGGGAAGGGGAGTATGGCAAAAAGGGGGCGCCAACTGTATATATGTTGATAGCCAAATTTGGTAATCTGTGTACTCGTAGAACACAACAGAATAATAAGATCTATCGGCTTGTGCCGTGGACTAGTCTCAACGTTCATACGTTGGGGAAACCACGTAATTCTGGTGTTGTGCGTTGTTTATTGTTGAGGATTTGTGTTGAGTTTGACATGGTATCAGAGCCAAACTGATATTTCATGGGCTGAATTCATTTTGAGGGGATACTGCCGACATCTATCTTGCGGCTTCTTATTCGGGGTCTGTGATTTCTGGTAGTGATCGCTCCGTATCCTTGTGCGACCGGTTCTAGCCTACGTTGTCTTCTGTTGGGGAAGTATTGTATTCTTCGGTGGTGTTCCATTCTTTGGATTGGATTCTTTTTGGTGGTATTACATTCTTTGGGTCTGCTCGCTTCTTTGAGGTTGGTGTGCCCTCGCATTTGCTTGCCTTTGGTTATTGGATTATTGGCTTTGTTTATTGGCCACACTGGTATTTGTTTTTTTTGTTATGTTTGTAACACCCCGAGTTCGAGTTTAGGTTTGATTAAGATTCGACTGCGCGGTTAGATCGACGGTTACGTACGAAGGGTTGCAATTGCTGATTAATAATAATAATTATTATCATTATTATTATTAGGTTTAATTCACCCGTGTAGCCATAACTTTCACGGTTTTGACAGATATAGCCACTTTTTGAATAATACACAGATGTAGCCATTTCCGTCCTATTTTTTGACGGTCCACTTAACTAGCTGACTGGACTAACGGTTGCGGCTGATGTGGCGCGTTTTGGTTTTCGTCTTTGCCACGTGGAATTTTTTTTTTATTTATTAAAAAGTAAAACGACATAGTTGGAGACGAAAAGGGGATTCAGATCACTTTCCCCTTTTTCGTTTTAGGGTTCCCAACCTACTCTTTTCCTTTTCTCTCGACTCTTCCCAATCGTTCGCGATCGCCGACAAAGGGAAGCCATGCATTCCGCCGGTGAGTAGCATCGGAGGGTCGCTCTTTCGTTGGCGGTACGGACTTCGGCGGTTCGGCTGGCGGCGGCTAAGAAACATCGGCGGAGGAACCCTAAATCGGCGGAGGAACCCTAAATCGCGTTGCTAAGAAACCCTAAATCGTTCGGCTGGTGAGTGATTCTGGTTTTCTTCTCTGGTTTTCTTCTTCGCACGGTTCGAATGAATGAATGTTTTGTTAACGGGAAGTGGGTGTTGTGTATTTATAGGTTGAAAGGTGGAAAGCGACATCACAACTTCGAGGGACCAGAAGAATATTTTTTTCACGAGATTGCCCCTGCAAAAGACGGTAAACGCCATAAATCTCTGGTTATAATCGTCATTTACTATTTAAGCTTCCCTTTTTCGTGCTTTTCTTGGCTGTATGTAGAGTTCCCCAATTTGTTTAATCGCTTCTTGGATGTGTGTGTCTGATTTGTTTATTAGCGATTAATCATTAATTAGTAGTTAATCGAATAAACAATCAATTTCTGCAGAGAGATGGCAGATTCGTGGGAGGAAGGAAATGGTGAGAATGTCACAAACCAGGAAGGGGAAGAAGATGATTTCCTGTCAGTAGAAGATGGGGTAGCAGCTTCTGTTGCAAAGGAGGTGTACCACGTTTACGATTCGGATGATGCTGATACTTCGGATGATGAATATCACGAAGCACGTGACAACTTACGAGCATATGGCGAGACGAGGAGGAGGAGGAAGGTGCATACAAAGCGTGCTGCTGATGGGGAAGAGGTGGACCAATTGGATGAATTTGAAGATGTTGAGGTTGAGAGTGGAGAGGAAGAGGAAGCAGAGAATGATAATGGTGCACATGGAGAGGATGTAGGGGAGGATGCTGCCGGGGGAGATGAACCGAGGAATGAGGCTACAATTCATTCTATATCCAATCAGGAGCCCCCTATTCAAGAACAAGCCGTTGGTGAGAATTCTAACGACTCATTTTACAGATTGTCTGAAGATTCGGATCATGTTCGTCCGAACTTATCTGATGAAGAAGCTAGGGAATGTACGATGATGCTCCACATTATGATCCAAAATGTGATCATAAGAGCTTGCAATTTGTGTGTCGGATGAAGTTCGCCAGTGCAGAGCAATTCAAGGAAGATGTTGTTAGACATTCTGTCGCAGCAGGTGCAAGTCTGAGGTGGCTTAGGACTAACCCTAAAAGGAGGGAGGTGAGGTGTAAGTCTCTGAATTGTAAGTGGAAGTTGTATGCCAGTTGGTTCAGGAAGGACAGGAGCTTTATGATCAGGAAAGTAGGGCTGCCACATTCGTGTTCAAGGCAGCTTAGAGTGAATCAAGTCACTGCTAAGTGGATAGCAAGTGACATGTTAGATAGATTCAGGATAAATCCTGAATGGGCTCCGAATCAGATAATGGCCGAGGTGAAGCTGAAGCATAATATGGAGGTTAATTACAGAACATGTTATAGGGCGAAAGTTGAGGCTATCAAGCTGCTCAGTGGTTCATTGGTTGATGAGTATGTTAAGCTCAGAAGTTATATGGCTGAATTGAAGAAACGAGATCGAGAAGGACATTTCTTTTTGGAGGTAGACCCCCATCCTAATGGCGATAATGTTTTCTTTCAACGTATGTACATCGGGTTCTCAAGTTTAAGAAAGGGATTTCTGGAAGGATGCAGACCGATGATTGCGTTGGATGGATGTTTTCTGAAAGGAGAGGTTAAAGGGATGATATTGGCAGCAGTTGGGAAAGATGGAAACAATCAAATGTTTCCTATATGTTGGGCTGTGGTGGAAGGTGAAAACACCAATTCATGGTGTTGGTTCGTGCAAGCATTAGCTGAAGACCTAACTCTAGTTGATGGAAGGGGATGGACTATTATTTCTGATCAACAGAAGGTAATGTCCAATACCACTGACTTTATTAAATGTCCACTTATGATTAATTTGCTGACTTTATGTGTTTCGACTTATGTCTTTCTTGCTGTCTTTATTCCAACCTCACATTGTAGGGTTTAGTTGAGGCAATCCACACCATATTGCCTGATGCTGAGCATCGGAAATGTGCAAGACATGTATATGCTAACTGGAAGGCGAAGAACAAAACAGATCGTGTCAGGAAGCTCTTTTGGTTTGCTGTTTATGCTTGCAATGAAGTGCATTGGAACCGCGCAACGGCTGAGCTGGAGGCCATTGAAAAGTCAGGTGATGGTTCTACCCCATATACAGACTTTATGGCTGCTGAACCTCGACGTTTTTGTCATGCCTTCCTAAGATGTTATTCGAAATGTGACTCTGTTGAGAGCAATGTTTGTGAGACATGGAATGGTTGTATTGTTAAATATAGGGGTTTAAGAATTGTAGACATGCTGGAGGGTATAAGGCAGTACATGATGGACAGGGTAGTACTTAAGTCAGAAATGTTTGCAAAGTGTACAGACACCTTGCCTCCAAGGATTAGGAAACGTGTTGAAAGGGAAAAGGAGGAGGCAAGGTTATGTGTAGCTAAGCAAACTCTCAATGCAAGGTGTGAGGTAAAGAAGGGGGGTGAAGGGTTTATAGTAGATGTGACTGAATGTACTTGCTCTTGTGGCTACTGGCAACTTAGTGGAATTCCATGCTGCCACGCGGTTTCAGCTATTAGCCATCTAAGAAGAGAAGTTGATGATTATGTGAATTCATACTATCATGTATACATGGCTAGTTTCGCATACAACTATGGGATACCTTGCCTTGATGGTAGGCAAGCATGGCCAGCATCTGAGGGAATACCTGTTCATCCTCCCAAGACTAGATCAATGCCTGGCAGGCCAAAAAAGAAGAGAAGGAGGAGTGCAAATGAGGTGGAGGAGACCAGAGCACAAAGAAACGGGGTTGGTGAAGAGGTTACAAGGAGAGGTAATCTCATCCACTGCTCCAAGTGTGGCGGCGAGGGGCACAATGCCAGATCTTGCAAGGCACGCCCTGTTGCAGAAGTTGTGGTGGTAAGATTCTTGCCTTTAGTCTTTCTTATAAGTGGAATGTGGTGTGATTAGTCTGTTTGCTCCTTGCAGGAGAGAAGAGAACAAGGGAATATCCAATCGGGGCCACCTGCTGCGCAAGAATCAGGCCAGAATACTAGAAGGAAGAGGGCCATTCATTGTTCCAAATGTCAGAGTTCCACTCACAACGCAAGGACTTATCCTCTGAATAGAGGAAATGGTGTACAAGTAAGTGGTTTCCTTCCTAATGCAAGCATGGCCTTGATTGAGACAAATTTGCTTATCTGTCCTGTTGCATGTATGTAGGATGTGATACTTAATGTGGCTGATAGAAGAACAATTGAAAGGGAATTGAGAATTGCAACATCTGGAGTTGGCGTTTATGTTAATGAGAGGACAGGGAACCAGTATGTTAGGGTGTGTTTCCAACATGTCTTGTAATTGTAATAAGTCTTCTTAATGTAGTTGTATTGAATACTAATATGTTTGTTACTCATTTCAGCTTAATGGAGCTGCTGGCAGGCCAGTTCGTGGACCTCAGCCAACTGTCGTGGACTTGCATGGAAGTCAGCCACCACCTAGTCAGCCTTAGATGTAGGAAGAATATGATGCTTAAGTCATCTTTTGTGTAATGTCCATAGTAGACACTTATGTGCACTTTGCTATGTAATGACGATTACATGACTCAGGAAGCAGTTGGTAGCAGATTAGTTTGCAAGTAGCTTTGGTTAGGGAAGGTTATGAACACACTTTTAATGATGATTACATGACTCAAGTGCAAGTTGTTAGTTGCAGGTGTATGATGTACTCTTCTAATCGACACCATTTTGATGTGCACCCTTTGCACTTGCTTAATATATGTGTCTCATTAGAGAGACCAAACATTTGTTACTCGCTTTAGAACATTACATTGTTACTCGCTTTAAAGAAATAGAGAGACCAAACATTTGTGTCCATTAAAGCTTGCATACATTTGTTCAACGTACTCAAACAACAACTCGTACAAATTGCCTAATCCACAGAATGCTAACTACATACCAGATTCTGGCCTCCAAAGAACAACAACCAATATAGCATTCATAAATACAGCACCAATCAACATATATCGAATAATACGGACATCATCATCCAATCGCTTAACACGAATCGCCATAACCTCATGAGCAAGCATCAATCTGCTTAGTTCTTCAGCCAAGCATTCATTTTCCTTCTTCATCTTCTCTGCCTTCCTTTCTGCTAGCATCAGACTCTCTTCCAGATTCTTAATAGAACCCATTTCATTAGTCCATGAGCCAGTTTCATCATCGTTTGATTCCACCCACTGAAAAAATCGACAAGTTTTTTTCCTATCCTGCAGCGAAATAATACGCATGAAACTCAAAAAATCGACAAGTTTGATTCCATCCACTGTTAAAACCCCTGTATTGCTTACCTTCCAATAAGGACAACCGTAGAACTGCCGCCCTGGGTTCGTATAAGTACCCGAAGTTTTAAGAACACATGGGACGTTGTGCTCGCATCGAACAACAATCCTACTATTGGTGCTTACTGATCCGGAATCGGCAACATTGAAATCCACCTTCTTTCCAGACCTATTCGACATGGATTCGGAGATGAAGGGTTGACCGGGATATGGAGCGGCTGCGCTGGGATTCGGAGATGAAGGAACGGCTGGGCGAAACTGTCTCGGTGATTATCTTGGTGTATGGAGCGAAAATGGAATCGGGAGAGGAGTTGGGGTGGAGAGGAGGTATCGAGGGAAGGGATTGAAAATAGAGAGGAGTCTCTGTTGTGCGAACCCTAGAAAACAAGAGAGGAAGGGAATGAAAACGACGGCGAGGCCAAGAGAGAGAGAGAGTGTCAATTTTTTTTATCCGATGTGGCGTCCACGTGGCTAAGTCCACCCGGTTGGCGATGACGTGTCATCCATTTGGCGTACAGGTCAGCTAAACGGACACTTAACTGACGGAGACGTTATCTCCGTCAAATCTTTTAACGGAAATGGCTAGATTAGACAACAAACTTTAAAAAGTATGGCTACATCTGTGTATTATTCAAAAAATGGCTATATCTGTCAAAACCGTGAAAGTTATGGCTACACGGGTGAATTAATCCTTATTATTATTATTGTTATTATTATTATTCAGCAATTATAGCAAGGACGGTTGGGCGGCCCTCAAAGTTTTCCCCACTCCCCATCACAAATAACCTGCTCAAAAACTCCCGCATCCTGAAGAAAACTCAGACCCTCTCAAGGACCTTCACTGTTTCCATCTCAACCACAATTCCCCCATCCGCCGCCGACGTCTCACTCCCACTCCCGCCGCCGACTTTGAATTCGCAGATCTCCGCCAGCTCCTTCATCGTCCCAACCGCGATGTCAACCCTAGAAGCAATCTCAATCAGCAGAGACGCAAATGTCGCCGCCGGAATCACTTCCATCAGAGGCACGATCCCCCCTGATTTCGCTTCACAATCCTCCGACTCCTCCTGCTTCAGCGCGTCGGGAAGCGATTGCAGCGAATCACGGAGCTCCTGAACCGCGACGCTCATCTCCTTCGCCAGGAGATCCACGGCGGCCGATCTCGTCGCTGTTTGGATGGTTTTGGCCGGCTCTAATCTGCTTCAAAGCCAGAGCCAGTTTCAGCACAGCAGATCCATTCTCCCATAAGATTCAAAGGCAAATAACGTATCGACAATGGTACAGAGGAATATCCCTTCATGGTTTTGCGATGTCGCTGGTCCTTCATCATCGAATTAGTTGTTATCTCGATTGGGATTAGGCGATGATAGTGTTTGATTTTGCTCTGATTTCTTTGGTCGTGGAGTCGGCATGTTATTCAATTGGGGGGAAGGGGTCGGATGAACACAAGAACTGGGTTTGGGGTTTCTCTTGGGCGAGTGAAAGAGAGAAGAAGGGTTCTTGGTTTGGGGTTTTGGAGAGGCTTAGGGATTTGGATTTTGGGACGAGGAAAAAGGGAAGTAAAGCGGGGAAGCTTCTGCCGATGATTGAGCAGGGCGGCGATGATGAGATGTTCGCGAAGCTAGTAGTGGAGATGTTGATGATAAAAGGAAGAAATTAAAGCAAGTGGACTCAGATTGTCAAGGTAGAGCACTCCAGTCAAGCTCTTTGGGTGAAGCTGAGGGTGAAAAGCATTTTGCGGAAGATGGGTACAAGTCGCTAGTGCTCGGGATTGGAATGAATGGAGTTGGTGACCCTGGAACCAGAACCTTTGAGAAAACCAACGAAGATGAAGATTTGGGAGGCAGACTAAGCCTAAATTGAATGAAGAATTTGTGGGAACAGAAAGTGGAACTGCCAGTTCCCAAAGGAAGAGGGCGAATGGAAAGGATTTAGATGGTCCTTTGGTTATTACGAAAATTTTCAGTAGTTTATTACGAAAATTTTCCCGCTGCAATTTAAGCTTTGGTTATTTTATTTATCAAGGACATTTTAGTAAAAGTAGTACCCGGCTGGGTTAGGGTGTTTACATTTTGGTATCAGAGCCGGTCTTCCTCTGTTCCTTGGTTTCCAAGGAATACTGGAATATCGGTCTCAGTTTTAAAGGCTTTTGTTTTGAAGGAAAGGAAAATGAGTCAAGGATCTTCTTTTAAGAGGTTATAGAATCTCCAGTCTACTCTAATCGTATTAAGGTAAATAACTAAAGTTCTAATAGAAGAGGTTCCAATCGTAAGGGAATACCTCTAGGTTTTTGAAGGAGTTGAAGGAGTAGTACGAGGATTCTACTACTAGACAGCAAGGAGAAGATCTAATAAACAAAAGCAAACGAATAGGAGGACTATGAATCGCCGAAGAAAGAGCTACAGTCACTATGTGTCAGTAGCTATAATGATGGGAGGATTTCAGGGTCCTTGACCCTAAGCAGTGGCGAGGAAGCAACGAGCCAAGAAACGAAGAGGTACCACGAGAAGTCCCTCAACTAGTTTTAGTGATCAACGCTATTACAACATAGTGACAAGGAGCAGTGAAAAGCATAGACTTCAAGAGAAGCTGGGGTAGTGTAAATGAAGTAAGTGAGGAAGTAAGTAGGTTGGAGGGGGTCTAAAAGGAAGTCAAAGAGTCAAAAGGTCAAGGCGGAGAGGAGGCATAATCATTTACATATGATGATTAAGGAACCCTTATAGATAAACTACGTCACTAGATAAGAGGGTACATAACCCTGGGAAGTTGGGCCGATGAAAACCCTTTAGAAAGAACAAGACAAGCAACGAGATAAATGATGTAGAGGACAAGTTATGGTCTTAGTATGACCACCATTAGACGAGACATGGGGGAAAGTGCCACCGAAGTCTAAAGCATACCTGGTAGAAGACAGTGGGAGCCAATAAGTAAGAAAAGATTTCGAATGTGAGAGGGAATAGCAGTTAGCTAGTAAATGGCAGAATGAATAGAGAACCACTTCTCAGCAATGCATGAGTTGAATACTAAGTCAACACGGAGCTAGAAAGAGGATATTAGAGACCCTACAAACTACCCAGATCACAAAAGGTCATGAGGATGTTGGGCCGTTGGAAGGGGTATGCAAGAGTTCACGATGATCTGTTATGGGATTGTCCTCTCTTAAATAGAGGGAACACCTAGCCTCCTAGGGTACATGAGCGGTGACAGCAGGAGGAAATCTCTACTAAGTTGGAGCTAGAGGGCTAAGAGCTGAGGTCTCGGAACTAGCTATAGAGTAAGTCATTAAGCCAACCGAGTATAGACAAGTAAGTGGAATGTTCAATAAATGTTCTAGTGAATGGTAGAGAATTCGAGGAAACACATGGATGTTCCGATGAAGGATTGAGAATATGTGTAGGTGACTCGTGTTCAAGAAAATGCATAGTGGAGTACGACGAGGAGAAGCATTACCAAGAAGGAGGAAATCATTAAGTTACCTTACCCAATGTGCCCCACTCTGAGCGAGTATGACACCCATAAAAGAAGGCCTGTTAAGGATAAATTAGTGATATTTAGTTAAGCCCCCTAAGAGCCATGACTAAGAGATTAAGGCTATGTACAAGCATCGATCGAGACAAAAGACATGGATGAGGTATGTTCAAGCCTACCAAGGGCAAGCCACCATTGGAAATTGTGACCGAAAACAACAACGAGAGGATATTCAACAGAGTTTGGTGACCGAAAATAGTACAAAGCACCAACAGAAGGGTAGTAAAAGTAAAGAAGCAAGGAGAACATTAGGGGACGCTATAGGAAATAAATTAAAAAAGGTGGTTGTCGACAGGACAATGAATGCGTGAAGGAAGATAGTTGGGACTTGGTCAAGCACCATCGTGAGTAGAAGTCGTGGGTGTCATCTGTCAAGTCTACTGGCACGCTACGACACAACACCAAACTACGACCAAGTATAATCGCAGTCTGGGAATGCAGTAAAGTGGCAAGTTCTATTATCAACCCAGGGTCTAGATCTACTGCCTACTCCGTGATTATCTATTATCTAGCAAACTAAGTCGATAGGTTTTTGTCTTAACTAAAAGCAGTAAGAAAGCAGGAATTGGTTCGATTTTCTGAAGCAAGGAAGAGTCACTCGGGAATAAGTCCCCCTAGCTCCTTATTAGGTCTCAGTTGTAATTATCCTGGGTTGATTTACTGTTGATTAGACTGTGGAAGATCCGACAGTAGCTTGGAATCTCTTAAGCTGACCAAGCCCTCTCAGTCTAACTACCCGACAGACGACTAGTCTTCACCGGGATAGAAAGCTGAAGCAATAAGCACAGAACTCCACTACTGGAATTGGATTCCAGTACAAAGCAATAGACTGGCTAACTCTCGTATAACCAATCCACTACTAACGAATGATGAAGCTCTAACAACCTAATCAGATTCTATCTATCTCAGGTTGCAGCAGAAATCAAGAAAAGCTGATCACACTTCAATCAATTCAATGAATCATGCATCATTCGATTAAAACCAAATAGTATAATCATCCCAAGTCATTACAATCAAATCCCTAACACATGGAACTAGGGTTCTTCATACCCAAGTGAGAGAAGGGTTCTACTCCATAGAAAGAGAGAGGAAAACAGAATACAAAGCAGTCATACTCATAACAATGGGAAGAATCTGCTTTGGGATGATGATTTCCACTCCTATGATGATCTCCAAGCTCGATTTGATGAAACCCAGCTCCAAGATCGCTTCTAGGATGTGTTCTTCGCACTTTCTCTCTCTAGGGCTCTGTTTTTGCTATGAAAAGTCGATTCTCTCACTTGTGGCTCGAAATTGGGTAAAAACCAGAATTCCCGACTCACACGGGCAGGCCACACTGCCGTGTGGCTTACCCAGTTGCCCATGTGAGAGTCAAAACGCCGAGTTTCGATTAATTGGATTTCAGGCTTCCTACACGGCCAGGGACACACGGCCGTGTGGAATCTCCAGTCTGCCCGTGTGAAGCCTCGCACAATCCCATACGGCCATATTGGTTCCCTACACGGCCGTGTGGGTTTTATGACTGCCCGTGTGGCTTCCTCAGCGACTCGCTACACGTCTGATCTTCGTCCAATCTACCCCGAACTCGCTCCCAAACCTTCATTCACGTACTAGGACCTGAAATATCACAAACAAGCACAACCTAGCGTGAAATCGGCCTAAAACACGAGAATCAACATCTCAAACGACTCAAGAATAGGGGTAAAAACATGTGCAATTAACGGTTTATCATCTACCTAGAGAAAGTTTCTAGTGGAAATGTTGGCTCTGAGGTATGGAGAGGAGCTACTAAACGGAGTAGATCAAAGCTAGTACCAAGCATCGATGAAGGAGTTGTGGAAGTAAGGAGGAAACCACAAGCTATAATGAAAGTTATGGTGAAAAGGGTGGTAGCTGATAAAACGACAAATTCAGGGAGAAAGATAGTTAGGAAGAGCAGGCGAAAGAATACGAAGGTCAACAAGGAGGCGTTAAGGTGATTGCCAGTGGAGAATAAGTTGGACCATAGGAAGCCCATCAAGAACGGAGAAGCTTAATGGTCAACTTTAAAGTAGAAGTGTGGTGGTCCAGAACGGTCGAAGGGAAAACCTTATCGGTCAAGGTACATAAGTGAGAAGAGAACATGGGCACCAAGATGACTACATCAAGGACTATGGACATATAGAACTAGCGAGAAACATCGGTAAGAGGAGTCACGAGTAAAGAAGTAAGATGGATATGAGTTTAGCGAACCTGCTAGGATACCCTAAAGTGAAAGCAATACCACCTATGAGGGTGAAATGTGTCGATCTCTCTGGTGAAAATTTCTTGGACGGGGAAACTGTACGAGGAATTTCAGGCAAGGTCAAAGAACAATAGAAGAGATCGTACGAGAACTCCCAATTTAAATGGTGATAAGGAAGTGTTAAGTTAGGCACCATGAGTGAAAAAAGTACTCAAAATGGAAGGTCATGATTCTGGAAAGAAGTCATAAAGTTGATCGCAAGCTAGAGAAAGTTGCAAAGGATGCCTCTAATGCATACAGAAAGTCGAAGCAGTAGTATGAGGTTTCAGAGTTAGGCAAGAAGTAACAAGAAGATGACCACTCAGTTTATGGTTAAAGGATAAGACGTGGCATCAAGGAGGAAAGTAAGGGATGCAAAGTTAGCAGATACAAGGACCTAGGTGACCTATGAGGTCAACCCTAGACGAGAGTTACGTTAAAAGGGTTTTACCATCTGACTAGATGGAAGATAAGCCGCCATCAGTGACCTTGTGGTTGGAGAGGGGCATTAACTTCTCATGTATAGGTGCAGCCTAGGTGGTGTGAGGGGTTAAGAAGCCGCAATAACATTGAAGTTGCAGGGAATGGAGAGAAGGATTTTAGGTCATGTCGTATAAGTTAAAGGAAATAGAAATCCACAAAGTGAAAAGGATTACCACAAGCAATGCTTAGGGTAATCACAGTGGACAAATTTTGAGGTCGAAATTTTTCTTAAGGGGGGGAGGAAATGTGATACCTCGATTTCGATTAAGGTCCAACAACAAGTACTAAATGAGCCGGACCAATAAATTGAATTGAAATTTTGTCCTGCGGTGCAAGTTCGAGGATTTAAAAGGACAAGTAGCCACTCAAAGCTGCTCGATGCTAACGAGTTTGGGAGAATATCTTTTGTGGCCAAGAGGAAAAATAAGAAGTGAGACAATGCGAGCCAAGCAACGGACATCATTGAGGGTCATATATCAAGAGTGAGTTCTTGAGCCAAGGAAGCACGAGAATGAGGACTATGGAAGGATGAGTCCGATCAAATTTCGAGGACGAAATTTTTATAAGGGTGGAGGAAATGTAACACCCCGAGTTCGAGTTTAGGTTTGATTAAGATTCGACCGCACGGTTAGATCGACGGTTACGTACAAAGGGTTGCAATTGCGGATTAATAATTACTATTATTATCATTATTATTATTATTATGCAATTATAGCAAGGAAGGTTGGGCGGCCCTCAAAGTTTCCCCCACTCCCCATCACAAATAACCTGCTAAAAAACTCCCGCATCCTGAAGAAAACTCAGACCCTCTCAAGGACCTTCACTGTTTCCATCTCAACCGCAATTCCCCCATCCGCCGCCGATGTCTCACTCCCACTCCGGCCGCCGACTTTGAATTCACACATCTCCGCCAGCTCCTTCACCGTCCCAACCGCGATGTCAACCCTAGAAGCAATCTCAATCGGCAGAGACGCAAATGTCGCCGCCGGAATCACTTCCATCAGAGGCATGATCCCCCCTGATTTTGCTTCACAATCCTCCGACTCCTCCTGCTTCAGCGCGTCGAGAAGCGATTGCAGCGAATCATGGAGCTCCTGAACCGCGACCCTCATCTCCTTCGCCAGGAGATCCACGACGGCCGATCTCGTCGCTGTTTGGATGGTTTTGGCCGACTCTAATCTACTTCAAAGCCAGAGCCAGTTTCAGCACAACAGATCTATTCTCCCATAAGATTCAAAGGCAAATAACGTATCGACAATGGTACAGAGGAATATCCCTTCATGGTTTTGCGATGTCGCTGGTCCTTCATCGTCGAATTAGTTGTTATCTCGAATGGGATTGGGCGACGATAGTGTTTGATTTTGCTCTGATTTCTTTGGTTGTGGAGTCGGCATGTTATTCAATTGGGGGGAAGGGGTCGGATGAACACAAGAACTGGGTTTGGGGTTTCTCTTGGGCGAGTGAAAGAGAGAAGAAGGGTTCTTGGTTTGGGGTTTTGGAGAGGCTTAGGGATTTGGATTTTGGGACGAGGAAAAAGGGAAGTAAAGCGGGGAAGCTTCTGCCGATGATTGAGCAGGGCGGCGATGATGAGATGTTCGCGAAGCTAGTAGTGGAGATGTTGATGATAAAAGGAAGAAATTAAAGCAAGTGGACTCAGATTGTCAAGGTAGAGCACTCCAGTCAAGCTCTTTGGGTGAAACTGAGGGTGAAAAGCATTTTGCGGAAGATGGGTACAAGTCGTTAGTGCTCGGGATTGGAATGAATGGAGTTGGTGACCCTGAAACCAGAACCTTTGAGAAAACCAACGAAGATGAAGATTTGGGAGGCAGACTAAGCCTAAATTGAATGAAGAATTTGTGGGAACAGAAAGTGGAACTGCCAGTTCCCAAAGGAAGAGGGCGAATGGAAAGGATTTAGATGGTCCATTTAATTCAACCACCTTGGTTTTTCTTAAGCAGTCTGGTCCATTTAATTCAACCACCGATAATGACCAAAGCAAGCAAGCTGGTCCATTTAATTCCAAGTAAGCTTCCCCATTTTATTCAAGCAAGTGTAATAAGTTATAAGACGAAAGTAAGGTGAGTGTAAAGGGGGTAAATTCTACGCCTTATGTATTCTTTCAAGTTTGACGAGCTTTAAGTATTTGATGAAGTGATTGTTATTGCTTGATTGTGTTTATGATTGGTGATATGTGATTTTGTTTGAGCCATGTTTGAAGTGAATGTGCATGAGTTCTTATTTAAATTAAAGCTTTAAGTTTATAAGTTATTGTTAAAGTTACGAAACAAGTTCTTTTTAAAGAAGTAACTCACCTTCAAGAAGGTGAAGTTGTTTTAAGTGTTTTTAGTCACTAGCGCCAGTCCGTTGCCTTTTGAGACATTTTGAGATAGAGCAGCAGCTATGCTCTTGAGACTTTTAAGATGGGCAGCAGTTATGCCCTTGAGAATCGTGGTGAAGAGCCACCACGATAAGTTTAAGCTGTTAGGGGGATGAATCGTTATGACTTCCCTAACTAAGTTTAAGTTTAAGGAAAGCCTAGATGGCTTCTCATACGTATGAGTTGGCAACCGGACTAGCTAGTGAGGGATCCCCGTGTCAGTCAAATATTTAAGTCAAGATTTGAGCTTTAAGAATGGAGTGTAACAGTAACTCCCATACATTTTTAAGAGTTAAGCTTTTTAATAGTGGAAGTACAAAACAACTTCCACTCAGTTAAGTAAAGTGATCAAGTATCAATAAGATGTTAAACGTAAGGGCGTAGACTGACCCCAACTCACTCACCAGTTTGAAGAGGGAGAAGCTAGAGGAGCAGTTAGAGAGCAGCGGGATCGAGATAAACAGTTCGAGTGAAGCTAGCTAGAGGAGGACGGTACGAGCGTCACTGAGGATGTCTAGTCAGAGTTTTGCACACAAGTAGCAACACTTGAGACTTATTAGTTATTTACATTTATGGTTATGAGTATAGACCGGAGATCACTTTGAGATTTTAAGTATTGAGTTTGCCCACTTGTAGGGCTTTGCTTTGAACTACAAGAGTGTGTTTTCAGTAGTTTATTACGAAATTTTTCCCGCTGCAATTTAAGCTTTGGTTATTTTATTTACCAAGGGCATTTTAGTAAAAGTAGTACCCGGCCGGGTTAGGGTGTTTACAATGTTTGCTACCTTGAGGTTAGTTTGACCTCGTGTTTGCTTAGCTTTGGTTCTTGGGTTTTTCTGGTTGTATTCTGCACCACCGCTTTCATGGAGGGTTCAAAGCTTGATGCGGATTCTGTTCGTCTCAATGGTAAGAACTTTCCTTTGTGGGAGTTGAATTTTTGAGTCTTTGTGCAAGGAAGGCGGCTGCTGCCTTTCTCGATGGGTCCCTTCTTGAACCTGATTCCACAACCTTGGCTAAGACTAAATCAGATTGGGCGATTGAGAATGCTCTAGACATGACCTGGATATTGTCTTCTGTTGAATAGAGTATTGCACTTAGCTTATGCGCTTTTCCTACCTCTCATGCTATGTGGAAACATCTCCATGATGTTCATTCTCAGACTGATGTGTCTCGGAAGTTTGAGCTGGAGCTCGCCATTGCCTTGCTGCAACAAGGTGATTTGGACATCAGGTCATATTATAAGGAGGCTCTTAACTTGTGGATTGAACAAGACATGTTGATGACTTCCTTAGTCTCTGAAGAAGCTTCAGCTAAACTGCTAAAGTTTTGAAGGAGAGAGCTAGTTCCCGGTTGATGCATTTTATGGTGAAACTTAATCCGACATTTGAAGGGGTTCGATCTTCCTTACTTCATTGTAATATTACTACTATTGAGGAGGTTCTGAGAGAGCTTATTCAAGAGGAAACCCGCTTCGCAGCCAGGCGAAGCTTGATGTGCATTCCTCGGATTTTGGTGTTGCATTTGTTGTTCAGTCTGGCCGTCCTCAGTTTGAAGGTACTACTTCAGGAGAGATCATTTGTTATCAACGCAAGGCTAATGGCAATATCATTGGGGATTGCCCAATTCTTGCTCGCAGAAATCGTCCTTGTGGGAGAGGGTCTGGTTCTTCTCGACATGGTGGGAGCTCCTCCTCGGGAGTTGGGTCCTCATCGTCGGGGTCTTGTCCGGCCACGAGCATTGAATTTTCCACGAAGACAGCGCCCTCATCTTTCTAATCATCTACTTCATCGAGCGCTCCGCTGTTTCTCATGATGACCTTCGTCGTCTTATTCGTGAGGCTCTTCAAGACATGGCATCTCCTGATCTTTCTGTTGTTTTTGCTACTAGTATTATTTCTCGGCCTTCTTCTTCCTAGCATCTTGATTTTGCTGCTGTAAATCATATGACTAGTGATCGCACCACCTTTACTCATGTTCACCCTAGTTCAGGTCTTACACTGCAAGTGGCAGATGGTTCTTCTCAGATGGGGCGGGAGGTCGGGAGAGGGAGGAAAAGAGGTAGAGTCTTCATGCTTGATAGCTTGTCTTGGTAGCCATTGGATTGTGGTGGTTGTTCTTCTCAGATGGCGATTTAGAGTTCACATGGTGCTAGGCCGAGCATATCCAATTCATCAGCGGATATTTCCCATTATGTTTTTTTGACTAATGACATTGGTTATTCTGTTCAGTTGTCGGATTGAGATTTGTGGCATTTTCGGTTAGGCCACCCTCATAAATTGAGAATTTTTGATATGTTTAAGAATAAATGGTTGTCTGGTGATGTTCGCTTGATTCCATCTCATGACTGCATTCATTCTGTGCAAGCTAAAATTACCCAACACTCTTTTCCTGATAGTTCGACGGTCTATGCCGAGCCTTTTGATCTCGTTCACAATGATCTCTGTGGTCCTTCTCTTGTGACTGCACATCTAGGATTTTAGTACTTGGCTCTCTTTGTTGACCATGCTACTCAATATACGTGAGTCTACTTTCTCAGACAAAAATATGAACTACTTGGGGTGGCTCGTGAGTTTACTCAGATGGTTTCCACCCAGTTTGACAGGACGATTAAGATTTTTTGCACGGATCCAGGAGGTGAATTTCTTTCTCACCCATTACAGGACATGTTTTGTCATCACGGTATTCTCCCTCAGCAGTCCTCTCCCGGCGTTTTGCAGCAAAATGGGTTGGTCGAACGCAAGAATCGCCATGTCCTGGAGCTTACTCGTGTGCTCCTATTTCATTCTCGCGTGCCTCCTACTTTTTGGGTTGAAGCTATTCACACAATGAGTTACTTGATCAATCGTCAGATGACTCCAATTCTGGATCAACGTAGTCCATATCAGCCTCTTTCTCTTGTATTCCGAACTACTCATGACTTCAGGTTTATGGTTGTGTTTGTTATGTATTTCTTCCCCGTTAGGAGAGTCATAAACTTTCTCCTAAGACGACAAATTGTGTGTTTGTGGGCTATAGCGATAAGCACAAGGGCTTTGCCTGTTATGATATCGAGAATCACTGTCTTCCCATCTCGTGTCATGTTTTCTTCTTAGAGCATTCTATTATGGTTTAGCGGCTCCTCCTGACAGTTATCAATGGGATTTCTTGGTGTCTCTTCCCACTTTTTCTCCTACTGTCTCCTAGGCGGATCCGCCTGATGATGATCCGTCCTCCTCTTCGTCCTCGTCCAGCTCGTTGTGTGCTTCGTCCACCTCCGCCAGTTCCTTCTCCTTGAGCTCTTCTTCCTTGCCAGCCGAGTCCGATCCATCTACTATTCCTAGTGGTGATGCAGATCCTCCTTTTCGGCGGTCCACAAGAACAACTCGTGTTAATGCTCCTATCCGTCACTCTGATTTTGTAGCCTACTCTGCTATTTCTTATGTTTTTGTTCCTACTACCTACAAGCAGACGTGTGGTTTGGATCCTTGGGAGAGTGTGATGGACATCGAAATCTAGGTTTTGGAGGCTCAACATACTTGGGATCTGGTTCTCCCCCCCCCCAATGTCACGGTTATAGGAAACAAGTGGGTGTATGCTCTGAATTGCTTTCTGGATGGCTCTATCGAACGTCATAAGGCTCATGTTATGCCTCAGGGGTTTAAGCAGCACTATGGTGTTGAATATGAGGATACATTTTCTCCGGTTGCGTAAATGCAGACAGTTCACAGTCTTATTGCCGTTGCATCGATGAAAGGTTGGCCTTTTCTCCAACTAGATGTCAAGAACGCCTTCTTACATGGCGACCGGAAGGAGACAATCTATATGGAACGTCCTTCCAGCTATTATAAGGGAGATAAGTCGATGGTTTGTCTCCTCCTCCGTTCTCTCTATGG